AGACAGAGACAGAGACAGAGACAGAGACAGAGAGAGACAGAGAGAGGGGGAGAAGGAGAAAGAGTTGAAAAGGGTAGTGGTGAGGAGATTATGGGGACGGAGAATGGGATAGGATGGGAGCAGGGGCCCAGGTCTAGTGTGTAGGAGTGGGCTGTGGTCTGTATCAAGTGGGAGTGGGGGCCGGGGGAGGGTTTCTAAAGGGAGGTCTAGGGTTGGGAGTATAGGAAGGGGAGAGTGAGAGACAGAAAGAGTGCAGTTAGAGAGAAGGGTAAACGAGTAGAGGAGAGAGAGAGAGAGAGAGAGAGAGAGAGAGAGAGAGAGAGAGAGAGAGAGAGAGGACTCTCAGTTATAAATAGATGTATACATTAACAAAAAAACCACTTTTCAAACAGATCACACAGCAGAATCATTTTCCTTGGAGTTGGGCTATCCGGGTTATTTGATGGAGGAACCCTATTAAACTGCCAGCCCTGCTATTCCACCAACTTCATACTCGTCACTAGGGTGGTGGTTTAAAGAGCTGTGTCTGTATATTATTATGTGGTGTATGAGTATTTTTATCTTGAAGTCCTCGTTGAATAATTAGTTTACAATGATCAAAATTATGTGTGTAGAGCGTCTCAAACTTAAACTGGACAGAGTGATCAGAGAACAGGGGTTTCTTAGTCCTCAAAGTGTTGGCGACCAATTAAATCAGCTTTCCTGCTCTCTATGTTCTGTCGTCTGCTTTTGTCTCCCATTTTCTGCCCCACTTTCCCTTCCCCGTTGCCCTCTCCTCTGGGCTTCTGACTCATTCTGCAGCCTTTCTTCTGCTACTCCTTGGCTCCTTCTACTGCTGTTTTTCAGCAACACCCCTGATCTTATGGTAGGTAGGATCTACATCTAGTCTTCTCAGATAGGGGCAAAAATAAATTCAGAGATCTGTGTTCAAGTTGCACACGTTAAAGATCCCTTGGTGGTCCTCAAATCGATAAGAGTAGGCTTCGGCTTCCCCTCGAGCAAAACTCAAAATTCCTACTGAACTGAAAATGTTTAATGTGTCCCATGCGCTCATATGACCTTATGCAGTTATGAAAGCAGTAAAACACTTACTAGTCAAACAAAAAAACTTTCTAAAAATGTATAGGTTTGTGGCCTTTATTTACTTGGTTTGCCTGTTCTCAAGCATTATCCAACGTAAGATGGTGAGATCAAATAATTTCCCCTGACACTATGGGCCATTTGTTGGGCTCGGAGGTCATTATCCCAATTTTTATTATTATGTATTTTTTCTAAATTCTCACAAAAGTAGAATCTAGATCTAGATATAGAGTACTGTGCCCTTTTTTTTTGGTTAGTGTTTACGGTGCTCACAACTGCAGAAGGTTTAAATATGATTGCAGGACTCATTAAACATTTTCACTTTGGTTGGAATGTTGAATTTTGCCTGGGTGGCGGCTGAAGCCGACTCTGATTGGTTTTAGGACCACCAAGGGATCTTTAACATGTGCAACTTGCACGTGGGACCTCCAAGATTTTCTGCCCTTATCCGAGGAGTCTAGGTGTTAGATCTTACCTACCTAAGATCAGGGGTATAGCTGAAAGACAGCGGTAAGAAAGAGCCAAGGTTTAGCATAGAAAGGCTGCAGAGGAGGGGGCAAAGGGGAGGGGACAGAAATTGGAAATGACAGCAGACGACAGAGCCTGGCTAGAGAGCAGAAAAGGAGGTGAAAGGAGAAAATTTCAGAGAAGAAAATTTTCCGTCGTCAGATTTCGTAGAGGTGAACACCATAATCTCTAGACAACGAGAGACTCCAAATTTTGTTGAAAAGAGAGTACTGAAACAATGTAAATGTACGTTATGTTTGTGATTTAGTTTATCTGTTCTATAATTTCATTATTAGTATTAAGTCAGGTTTCTTCACAATTTCCTTATTGTTTATCTACAGCTAGATGAGCTCTTGCCTTCTTTATTTTTCCCATTTGACAGAGTGGAAATGTACCTGTCATCAAGGAAGTGAAAAGCCCTCCAGTTGATCAATCTGTGAGCAGTACAAGCGACGCCCTTCCTCCAACGTTGATTCCTAATTGTGATGTTGATATAGGAGGTTCAAATCCAGGGCAGGTTAGCCGCAGCTACAGTGAAGTCTCTGACATCAGCTCGGCTCTATCTCCCCTCGAGACAGAGGAGGCAAAAAATTCAGGCAGTGACCACAATCAGGAACCTTCGTCCAGTATGACAGCTCCTGATGCCCCTGTCCTCCACACGGCTTCGGACGTTGCTTCAAATCCCGTCCCCACTGCACCCACTCCAGAGATTGATGTTGGGGACTCTGCGATGGAGTTTAGCAAAGTAGAGGTACAGCAGAATCAAAGTCAATCATCACAGTTGCCAGCTGAAGGTCGTAGCACCTCCACAGGTCCAAGAAAAAAGAGCACAGAGTGAGTAATTCCCGTGTTTCTTGTTTGCAATGCTGGATATAAATTTATATATATTTTTTTTTTGCTTTGTGGAAGTTTTCCATCTCACGATAAATTTACATTTTTATGGGAGTTACTGAAAGACGATCAATCTTGTAGAGTTGTGATGGAAATGGGTGTGAAGTTTACTTTTGGTGCCATGAAATTACCCTCTAATAAGAATTCTTTAAGTGAAAGAAAGCATTTGGAAGAGTAAAACCTTAATGTGATCATCTTTTGTTGCCCCCCAAACTACTGTTAGTACAAGCCGTATTTCTGGTGTCTTGTTTGTGGAGTGTGAGGTTACCTTGATAAAACCTGACTGTGATTAATGCAAGTCCCAGCCCCTTCCCTGTTATCATTAATTTTTTTAATTATTTGGTCAGACTATCATATTAACTGAAGTCATGAGTAGTTCCGTCTGTTTGTGGTGATGTCGTAGGCTCTCATAATATTACAATGAACAGTCAGGGCCCATTCCCAAAAGTGAAGGTCATTCACCTTTATGATTTATTTGTCCATATTATCCCTTAACAGTGTTGGGGAGGAAAGGGGAGAACTGGGCAATAGTGTGCTTAATATCGTTCAGCAGTTTGTTTCCGCTGTGTTAAAGAAAGACATAGTTACTTTCACTTTAGTTTTAGTATCAGTGGCTTGAAATTTTATTATAATTTTGGAACTGAACATACAATGAGAAATGCACTTTTGAATGTTTCCTATCTTTGAGAGGAAGTGTTGGACTCTTAACATTAGAAGTATAAACTTATGATGGGTATTTTGTTCTCTACATCTCTTCACAATGAATGGCCAGGCTTTTCATTCTGAACTTTTACTCTAGACCCTCCAAAAAAGGAAATGCATCTAAAAAGAATGTGCGCAACGCTATCTCATCAACGGTAACAAATCGCTTCAGTGCTGGAAAGGAGAGTAAGAAGTCTTCTGGAAAGCGACGAAGGGATTCAGCAATCTCAAACAGTAAAGTTGAAAACACTGGTACTGCAGCACAATCTACAAATTTGCCTGGGTAGGTTATTGGTTTTCAAACAGATTTAGACTGTTGACTGAAGATTTATTTTCTTTGTTCAGTTACTGGACGATGTGAAATTCTTTTTGAAATGCCATGTTCTAATTTTATTATCTGTTGGAAATTGTAATTAAAAAAAAATTTGGATTTGTATTAAATATGTAAGCAGATGTACATATACTATCAAAGCAATTGGATGGTCATGGAACACATTTTAAACATTTTTAGTTTTTTTTTTCAATATTGTAGACTACATTAACTTATGTTTTGTGATCTTTTATGTCCTTTGAAGCACATGGAGGTTAATTCTCATCTTTGATCACTGTTGGTATTTCTTTCCATATTAGCCTGTAGAAGTGATGAGCTTGCCATTAAAGAACAACAATTTTTGTTTTATACCATATAGTGTCAATAATGGAGAATAAAAACCCTGCAAGAGATATTTAGTTAAAAGAGACCTGTTATAAATCAGTCTGCCACTAATTTGAAAGTTTTGTTTTTTAATTTAAATGTTTATTTTTGGTCTTTATGTTGTATTTTACAGCCACCATGACTATTGTGGGAGTATATTTGGAGGAAGCCCATACTTTCAAAGTTTAAGTGCACCAGGCCATGTGTCTCTCTCAAGCTTCTCAGCACAAGGTTTGAACAAATGTGCAATGTATACAGCTATTAACACTCAACAGTTTTTGTTTTTTTTCTTGGTGTTCTCTACACATGGAGGGTAACGTTTTTAATAAGGTGCTATAACTTCTCTATGTGAACAAAATGTCTTTAATTGCAAATGACAATTTTGGAAATTAAATGAACTCTTTCAATTGGACCATCGTGCAGTTCTACAAAATAATATATCTTGTACTAAAACAGAATATTATTCTAAAAAGTAATTACAACAAATATGGAACGTCAATTTATTCTAAAGAAGAAAAATTCATTTGATAAAAGAAATAAAAGTCAAGTTTATTACAGAAGACATGGCAATTGTTGTGTTACAGGTACAGTCTTCCATTTAACAAGTTAGAACTCAACACCATCCACATATTCTTTATCTTAACAGTCTTTTTGTTAGTCTTTGAAAAAATCCTTTTTTTTTTGAGATTTCAAACTTTCTAGAGCTATCCATGATACTTTAAAAGTATTGTGTGAAATTTCGGGTAAAAGTTTAATATTTCATTATAGTTTTTAATGTTTTTTTGCGGTTATGTTGCTATGGAGTCTTTTTTTCTCCTTTCAGATAACAGCTCCTTATCAAATGGAGCCCCAGTTCTTCTCCATCCACCCAAACATTTCCCTAGTCACCTCACTGGGTCTCCAAGACAGAACCAGGATCATTCTCAGTAAGTTTGTGTTTTTGCATTTTGATACAAGTGAGACTAAAGGTTCCTTAAGGCATATGAAAATTCATAGCTCAAAGTAAAACGGATAGTACTAGATGGCTTCCTGAGAGGAGAATAGTTTGGTATTAGTGTATGCAATTTTATTTCACTGTTTTCTTTTCCCTCTGTGTACTATGTCAAACTGAGCTTTGCCAAGAATTCAATCTGAAACCTCAAGGCCTCTAACCTTTGCTGTTAATGTTGAAATGGGGGGAGGAAAGAAAAATCATTATTTCATTAAAATTTTTTTGAGAATTCTCTGATTGGTATGTGGTGGGAGGAATTTTGTTTTGTCACTGTTACTCCTTTATCATGTGCCAGTGTTTGGGATTTTTTACTGAAAAAAAGTGAATTTATAAATGCAATGGGTGAATTGAAATAATCAGCTGAATGGCTGCCTAGTAGGCTGTTAAACTAGTCCTTGGAACAACAATGCTGACTATTGTCACCTCTATTTCTGCTGTAAGCTGACAAACCACCTTTTCTTCGTTCACAGCAGTTTCGAGATAAAGAAGCTTTTTGTCAGCGAAAACCATTTTAAAATACCGCTCTTGTAAAATTTGAATTCTAATTTATTAAAAAAACTAGTCACAGTTTCACTTTGATTTTTTCACACAACTGATCAAGCTTTTAATTTAACAAATAAAAAAATTTGGTGCCGAAATAAAATAAAAAAGGCGTTCTGTCAGCTTACGGCAGATTTGGGATCAGTTGCTGTCTATGGACGTGTAATGTGATTTTCTGGTGTTTAAAAAATGTCCATATAAAATCGGGATCTTCAGTTTCCAGAAAATCTGGTCCATGTTTTATCAGGAGGATTATTGTTGCTGATTACAGGGATACTGCATTTGTTTATGTCTTTGTGTTGTGTATTGTGTAACTTGTCTGACATCTTTGGGAAGCAGCTGTTTGCTTTTACGTAGGTCTACACTCCTGGAGGTGCAGGTGTTCTGTATTTTGGTCACTTCCAAAGGTGTGAAATACTGCCTTGGGCTTTGTGTTGATACAAAAAGGGTATTTTTGGTGTGCTTCGTGCGTATGTGTGAACATCAGGCTATGGAAAGTTTGTGTTGTGGCTTATGTTAATTACACAGAGTATATTTTTGCCAGGAGCAAGACTACGCACGTCAAGGCTTAAGTTTATGTATTTCCTGTTTTGCAGTCTGTCCATTTTGGTGGTTGAAAGTTGTTTAGGTAGGTCTTACTGGTTTACCATCCTGCAGTTATTAGTGTCTGTCCGTCTGTCTTTCTTGTAGCACAAAAATGTCTCTTTTTGTGTAACATAATTCTTCATCATTCTGTATTTAATCATCAGATTATAAATTGCCACCTTTTTTCAATTTCTTCCAGGGAGTTTCCTCTCACCATGGAGCATCTACTGGAACAGCAGTGGGAACAAGGGGCTCAATTTCTCATGGAACAAGGACAGCACTTTGACAGTGAGATTTACTATACTGAACTTCTCTCTTGTGATTTTGGGAACATAGAGCAAAATTGGATTGTCTTCCGCATACGTTGGTCAAAGTAATGAATACATATTCTTTGTTTTCATCGTCTTCTACTATTGCTAATTGTGATTAAAACAGATGTGATGTCACAGCGAGCTAAGGGCAAGTGTATACCCTGTGTAGCAGTTTTTCCCATTTTGGATTTCAGGCCACGCAAAAACAGCTACAATGTCAACGTTATTTCTTTAAATGCCATTGTTTTTGTGAGGAATTTCACAAAATAGCTTTTGACATTATAAAGTTTAGCCTATCTGCAATGATGTAGGTATATTCCGCACAGTGATCGAATACACACCTTTTTAAGAATAAACTCTCAAAGTAACAATTTTGTAACTTCTTCGTTTTTCCCACGATTTGTGAATGGAAGATTGCGAAGTGGAAATCAATCTTTCTTTTAATAGACTGCCAATTTTGGGGGTGTTTGAGTAATATTTAGATGTTTTGCAGCCCTTCGGATTGAGGCAAGTCAGAAAATCACAGTTCCATTTGGCAGGTTTTGGACTCGCTACCTACCAATCCTCTTTCCTTGATGAAAAACTCAACTGTCACGGAAGATATAGGAAATTTTGTTGTTTCATTGAATGCTCCAATTTCTTCTTGATGTGTAATGCATGTGACTGACATAAAAAACAGAGCTATAAGTGAGTATGTTCCCGGGGCTACCCCTGGCTTGGGCGAGTCCACTGCGTTTTCGCTCTACCAGTGTTGGGCGTTTGGTGTCTATGTTAATACTGATTGTAACAGGAACTCAAATTCTTTAGATGTCAGCAGCTTCCTTAAAAAAGAATTATTTTTCACACCTGACCATCGTGTACTTCATTATGTATTTTACATTTTCTTGAAATGGATATCAAGGGAATATGTTTTACTGCGTGAAACTCTCATTTAGTTTTTAGCATATTTAGTACTAAGTAGAATAAAAAATGACTGGTAACAACAAGGTACATTTAAGTTCCAGTAATAACTTTGATAAATTTTAATTTCTAAACCACTGCAACTGAGAAATCGTTGTCCGCTTGTGTTTTTTGCCATGAAGTGTTTTGACTAGATTAAATTGCTTTTAATGCATTATGAACTTTTGTTTCAGTTGCATCCCTCCTCAGCTGTCTGCATCGTTTAAAGGGAGAAAATCATGATCTGGAGGAGCAAGTGCGAGGACTTACCTCCAGGTTATTTCATTCTGTTCCTTTAATTTGTACCCCTTTGTGCTCTTTGAATAGATTTGAATATTTTTAGACTTCAGAATTTTATTTTGCTTCCAAGCTCTTTCATTTTGTGATTTATCAAGAAGTTTTGTCCCTTTTTTTTGTCTCATGATTGAAGTTTAACCACACTATTGTGCTTCCCAGGAAGCTAAGATTGTTTCTGAACATTTTACAGGTCTATCATGGTAATAGATTGTGAAGCTTACAGAGTGTACTTGTGAGTAGGGAGGGGCACTATAATTTATGCATACTAAATTGCAATCAATTTTTGTGCTTTTCTGCCTTTAATGCAATCTATAGAAGATGTTTTAGATTTTAACTTTTGAAATATAAGCTTATTCAGATATAACACTTACCAAGGAAAGTAGATACACTTTGAAACTCCTCTTTTACTTCTGATGTGGAAATGTCGTTGATGACATACAGGTAACGTGGACGACATTTGTTTTTTTTCCCAGATAAAAAATATCTGGGCTAGCAAACATCACACGTGTTAACATACTTATGTATGATTTCTTTGATACACTAAGGTTTTCATGCTTGTGGTCAATATGGGGAGTTTCTGAACATTCTCTTGGAAAAGTTGTCTTAAATCACACTCTGAAATTAAAGCAGCTTTTAAAAGTGACCTGCTGTGCAGTGCTTATTTCCACAACTTGTTCACCTGTTTGCTTTTTTGAAATGTTATCCAGGTGTGATTTATGATTTGATGTTAAAGGCCTGGGCATGTTGCTGTTGCATTATTTTAGAGGGTTAGCTTTTTAGTACGACAAGGATGATGATTGACTGGAAAAGATAATTGAATATTTCATTTGCTGGTTCAAAAGCAATATTAGCTTGTTAAAAATTATGTTTTGTCACCAGCATTAATAACTTTAAAAATATCATATTTTTACTCTTTTTTCTATGGTTGTGTACAGTAAGATTCCTCTTTTTTTTCCAGACGAGACCATTTGATTGCTGTCAATGCCCGTCTGTCTCTACCCCTGTCCCTCTATGATGGAAGTACCTCTACCAGCAAGAGTTCTTCTGTTGGTAGCCTTGAGGACATTTCGTCTCCTGATGATGTGCAGGTGAACTTTTTGTTTTTGGCTGTAATATGGTGAGGGATACTGATATAACATGAAAGTGGGTCATAATTAGAGTTGGGTCGGGCTTGCTAAATAGGTGTTCACGAGTAACGAATGGTTCACTGGAGCTACCCGCAAATGAGCGGACAGGTAACAAGTCTTCCACTTGTGAAGATTTGTTCGCTACTCACGGGCCGATGGGCGGACGGAGAGACTCTATACATTCGAGCGGGCGGACAGATGGATGGACAGACGGGGAACAACGCCTTCCATTGCATACTAC